AAGTTTGCAGGTTCTAATATCAATACACAAAAGCAACACAATGAACAATCTGACAAAATTAAATTAGAAATTGTAGAAGTTCATTGATTTCTGCAAAGAAAGATATCCAGACCAATTTCTTTCTTTCAGCCTTCTGAACATGTTACTCCATTATCTCTGGCCTCTGTAGAGGAGAAATCCACTATTAATCCTATGAAGAGTGCTTATATTTCTTTTTTTTTTCTTAGTAACTTTTATTTGCACTAAAATCTTACACAGCAGTAACTACTTGGAACTCAATGTCTTACTTTTTCCTCTGCTGTGTATATTACATTACTGCATGTGGTGGATTGACAACTGTGGTCAAATTGTAACACCCAGCTGAACCGAACCAGTGTGGTGCTGGGTGTAGGAGGCCACCTGAGGATTGTTGCCAGCAGCATAAGAGGCAGAACTGGGAAGGAAGAAGTTTAGAAGCTGTTGGGAAGCTACAGGGAGCTGTTGGTTCTCTTGGAGGACCTTGTCATCCTGGCTTTCCTGATGAACTTGGCTGTTCTCATCATCGAAGGAGCTCGGGACCTTGGCATCACTAGGAATGGCTGTGGTTCACTTTGGAGGAGCTCTGCTTCTCACTGTGAGTGTCACTTCCTGGCTCTGGAGGAGAAGATGGTGCACTGTTCAGTCTCCTGAGAAGCTTGTTGCCCTGGCTTTCCTGATAGGAGCTCAGCTGCTCTCATCACTGGAGGAGCTCAGGACCTCACTGCACTGGGGTGGCTGTGGTTCTTTGCGGGGGAGCTCTGGTTCTTACTGTGAGCATTAGGTAGACTCTAGCCTCCATCACTCACCTTTGGACTCTCCCAGTGCAGATCTGTGAAGTGGGCATGCGTGAGACATTGTCATGGGCTCTAGGCCTCCAATTGGACTCATGAGGGGCGTTGTTAAGGGCGCTAGGTCTTCAGCTGGACTCATGGAGGACATTGCCTTGAGACTCAGGCCCTCCGCTGGTCTCCTTGGTCTTTCTTGTGTGGGCAGATTTCCCGCACTCTTTTTGTATATGACTCTTCAGGTGATTATTATACAATAATCGTATAATCTGTGCCCTGCACTGTTTGCCCTTGTAAAGCTCAAACTACCATAGTGCATGTTTACAGCACACAAGCTTTCTACTCGTGGTAGAGAGTTGGTATATGTGTGTCTCCTAATTCCTTTGCTCATCCCCTCTCCCTCCTCGCTCCTTTCCTCCATCTCTTGATTCCCTTCCTGAATGGGGGGGATCTCACTCCCTGCATCCTATCATGTTGCTCGTATTTCATCAGTTACTTCTCTTTGTCTACAGACAGTTTGAGTGTGCTGTGTTTACATTTGGATGTCTTTGTTCTACTTCGAGCACATTGAACTTCTTGGATATTTAGATTAATGTTTTCATCAAATTTGAGAAGTTGTCTGTAACTATTCCTTTAAATATCCTTCCTCTCTCCTCTAGGACTCCCATTACGTGTATGTCGGTCTCTGAGGTCTCTGTTCAATTTTCTTCGTTCTCTTTGTCCTTCCAGTCCTCAGGCTGTATAACCTGAATTAAACTGTCTTCGGGCTCACTGCTTCTTCTGCCAACTCAAATTATCTGTTTTAATTTGGGTTGTTTCAGTGTTCAACCCCCAAATTTCTATTTGGTTCTTTGTAAATAATTCCTAGTATTTTATTGATATTCTCAATTTTGTGAGACATCATTATCATATATTCCTTTAATTCTCTAACCATGCTTTTGTTCCTTGAACACATCTGTAAAAGCTGTCCTTTGTGTAGTAAAACAGCATCTCTGCTTCTTTGAGGACTGCTTCTATTTTCCCTTTTACTGTACATATATGGGCAATATGTTCTTCTTATGTGTTTTATAATTTTTTTTAAACTGAGCATTTTAAGTTCGAGATGTAACAACCCTGGAAATCAAATTCCCTCCATCTCGGGATTGTTTGCTGTTGTTGCTTTGCTCCTGTTTCTTTAGTCTATTCTAGACTAAGTCTGTAAAATCTGCATCTGAATATGTCAGTGATTTTTTAGAACATCTTATTCTATAGATTTTTCTTTTAAACTTTGGTCACTTTCTTGTTTGCCATGTATGTTTGTCACATATAGCCTCTGAAATATCTTCTCAGTTAGCTTAGCGGTCAGCTCATTGGCCAGGTAGAAATTCCCGCATGTGTTTTGAACCTGTCGAGCTCTGACCTCGCACCAGGGAGGTCCCCCTGTGTGTGGAGATACCTTCGATCTCGGTTGCTGCCTCGCCTCACAGCTTCTATGTGTGTCATCTCAAGGCCAACCAGAGATGACATAAAATGCCCTCCTTAAGTGCACCTGGCCCTGAACTTAGCTGTGTCCTTTTAGAGTCCCAGGAATATGTCAGAGCTTTTCCAGTCACCTTTCAGACAGCTTTCTCCACAGATCTTAAAGCTCTTGGTCACAGTCTTATTTGCCTCACTGGTATTGCAGCCTCAGGCAGCTGTGATTTTTTTTTTCCCCCGGAATCAGTGCTTGAGCTCAGGCCCTTGCACTTGCCAGGCAAGCGCTTGTTCTACTGAGCCATCTCCCCAGCCCTGCAGCTGATATTGAACACTTGCCACCGATCATTTTCAACAAGCACCTTAGCACTAGGGCTGCTCTCTGCAAGCAGGGTCTAAACCAAGCCGCAGACAACTTCTGTACCGGAAGTGAAGCTTTTCCAAGAAGGCCGGAGAGTGGCATTTCTTGGGAATGGGGCTTTGTGAGGAGCTACTTTTTATTGGCCCGTTAAGTGATAGCTAGGCTGCTGGTTTCCACAGCTTCTGTGGTTTTAAGGCTATTGTTTTTCAAGGCTATCATGGATCTGTGGGAAGAGGACTGGGAAGTTTCAAGCCAAAACACCACAACACTCCTAGTTCCTGCAGAGTTGAAGCTGTTTTTCTTAAGCAATCCCTGGATTATTGTGCACCTTTGGATGATTTCCAGGGTTCTGAAAAAGTTGATTTTGACAATTTTTGCCATTCATGTCATAGTTCCTTTGGGGGAATGGATTTTCAAAAACTTTTATACTGCCAAGCCTCTCTCTTTAGTTCTAATCCTTGTACCTTCTAAGGATAGATAACACTGGAAGCACATGAAAATGTCTCGGGCCCAGTGAAAAGTAAACAGAAGATTGCATTTGAAATGAGGAGGTTTCTAAGCAAAGGAACTGTAGACAGAATTTGCCTGTTAGCATTCCTTTAATAAATTTTTACTGTGGTAGTGTAATAAATAGCCACAGGAATATCTATAGGTGGAGTCTGTATCTTTTTATTTTATATAGGGTTCTTTGAACCTATACCTTCTGGTTTTCTGACCCACAGCACATGAGGAGAGGAGGAAGATACATTAGAGGCAGAGGTGCAGGAACAGCCAGCAGTGAGAAAGAAGAGCTAAGTATAAAAAAGTAGATTTGACAGTCAGCGGGCACCAATGAGACATGGTGCATCACTCGCTTCAGCGGCTATACTGTGTCAAAATGGAAATGTTAATTGGTGCTCTGTATTCCTTGTCTTCTATCAAGAGTCAATACAGTTTTTATGATCTGATACTTAAAGTTATAGGCTTCATTTACTTAGAGCATTTATAGCCAAGAAATACCGCATTTGCACATAATTTTGCTAATGGGACATTTTTGTTTTATTGGTGACAAATCCTGTTGGGGAAAGAGATTTTATAATCACTCACCTAAATGCATTGCAGTAACTGGAACATCTTAACAAGCCGAGAATCTCAACAGCACACTGTCACCATGAGGAGACGCATGAAGACGGGATGAGCTTCTCAAAAGTAGAAAGCAAAACCACACGGCAGTAATTCATTTTTGTTCCCTTTCTTAGCAAGTCCTTTAAGTTTGTAAGCACTGACAATACGTGCTTCATGATCAAAGGATGCTTTCATTTGGAGCTGAAGATATTATTGTAAGTTTCTGCTTGTGTAAGAGGCTGAGGACTTAACTGACCACTTCAGAATGAGCTATAGGCATGAGGCGTATTTTGAGAGGGAATTCTGGTGATACGTTGCTCAACATCTAGGCATGAGAACATAATGAGGCCTAGAGATAATTGTGGACTAGAGCTCAGCTGGAGTAGCACAGCAGAAGAGCCCAGTATGAACACGGAAAAGTGCTCTCGGGGCAGCCAGGTATTTCCGAAACCACTGGCAATGTGGGTACCATTAGCTGACATCATCATAGCCAGCTTGATGAAAACATCTTGCAGATCAAGGGGCCATTTGTAACAAAGAAAAGGAAGAAAGAAGAAAAGCTGCAGGAGCTTACTGTTCTGTGTGCCACGGATAAAAGATCCACACTTGAAAAAGTCTGCATCGTGTCACATGCATTGTCATAAGCCTGTACTATGGCTGGTGGCCGGCAACAGCTGAGCATGTTCAGGTCCCAAGACCACCATCAAGCAAAGGGCTGCTCTGCAGGACCGCAAAACACTAACAGCCCCATTTCTTACCAGAAAGTCATTCCAAGAAAGGAGGGTAGCAGAATTCCTGGGGCGGGGGGTTCAGTTGGTCCTGAGTATTAAGTAGGAAATCACACGGCAAGGTACGCAGTGGCACAGTGTATGCTTGGTGTTCTCAAGACAGTGACTGCTGTGAACAGTCACCATCCGAGATAGCAAGTGTCAAATGGACAGTTGACTGAGTTGCAGATGGTACTTTTCCAAGACTTATTTTTCAACATACTCTTTGATTCAAGTGCAATATACTAACATACAAGATAATATTTGAGACGACTGGACTCCATTTGAGTTACATGTCCTTTTTAGATGGAAAAGTTCAATGTGTTAATATTCCTGGATTAAAATGTAAATTCTGGCTAGGTGGGCACGTAAATATTTCCACAGAATTTCCCATTAGTGTCTTTACTTTAGTATTTCATAAGGTTGACATTAGAATATGAGCCATCCCATATGGGATTGCTGCAAATGCATGCAGCAGTTTTGATCTTAAAAGTTTGCTGTTCCTTTCCACAGTGTCCTGGCGGGCTACAACAGTACCATCTTTGCCTATGGGCAGACAGGAAGCGGCAAGACCTTCACTATCACAGGTGGGGCTGAGCGCTACAGCGACAGAGGCATCATCCCAAGGACGTTGTCGTACATTTTCGAACAGTTACGAAAGGTATGAAACTAAGTTCATTTTGTATTTGATATATTCAGCAAAAAATTACCATGGGCAAGAAATTTACTGTGACATTATATTATCTGGTATCTAAATGAGAAAGTCGTATCGTGTATTAACTCTGGCCTTTACATTTAAGGAAAGGTTAAGCTTTTGCTGGAGAAGTGGAAATTCAGAAGGTGCTTTTCCTTAAAGGGCTGCTACTTCAGCAAAAGCTCAGGGAAATTCCTTGTTACACTCACGGGGCCTAGAAGGTAGATGGCACCTTTTACCAGCTAGCACCTTCATTCCACACTACGAAATCCAGACATAGCCTTTTGCCAAAACAGACCCCTTTTTAGCTACTATAGTACAAACTACAATGGTACGGTTGTTACCTTTCCACACTTTAATTGAAGCCAGTTTACCAAAGTGCAAATTCTCACTGCAAGGAGTATTATATCAAGAGGAGCTCCCCGTATTGTGTGTTTTTTATTTAGTGCCTCCAAGCATCTGATACTTTATCATTATTTAATGCAACACCTAATGCAACTGACAACCTAGATACTTATTTTGTGGCTGAGGGGCTGAGCCTCCATTTCCATTTTTTTCTGCACTTCTGCATTTATAAATAGCTAATCTGGAGTTCCATCCTGGGTCTCTCCAGATAAACTGTCTTTTGCCACTACATACCTTACCTCTGTAACTCCAGCTGGCTTTATTTTGTTAGATTTGTATTTAAAAAAAAAAAAAAAAAAAAACCTATGTTGAGTCACTTAACTTCTGTGGGTTGGGTTTTCCCTTTTTGAAACTAGAGATGGAGGTGTCCTGTAAGCACGTTAGCATCCCTTCCAGATCCAGCAATTTCTTGGTCATATTAATTCTGTATCACAAATGTCCTAACTAGGTCAGTGTAACAGGCACTTGAAAATTTCTTCACTGTGTGCTGTTTGCACTTCCAGTTGCAGAGATGAGAAGAAATCGCTGAGAGCTGCATAATTCTAATTGTCATCCATAAAGTAGCAATTACCTATTAGTTCAACTCATCTCTCGCTAGCTTGAGCACTCGAGCTCTGCAGGCCAGAAAGTGTTGAGGAGAAAAGGTTGAGGGTAGTGCATAATCGGGATCTAGAGCCCTTCTTTTTCGTCACTCATTTCTTTCTATGATTTCCTCTTTATTTGGTTCCCAAACTAGGAACATAATTTCAAATAGTTTTTGTTTCCATGGAAGAGCATTGTCTTGGAAAGCTCACTGGGGTGTGGGTTGGCCTGGTCCTATGAAGGGGCGCTCCTGGCAGCGTGTGGCCTGGGTGGCCGCCTTCTGCCTTAGTCCTGTAGGACTTCCCTGAAGGGCTGAAGAGCCTCCATTCAAGGTGCTATTGAGCTCCTGGCCCACTCTGTGCTCCATACGCAACAGTCATCACCACAGCCATGAATATTCATGTATGTGCGCTGGGCCAAATGATCCCGGCCCAATTTCAGAGATCCTTTGAAACATTCAGCACAAATGAAGCCAATCTCCCTGATTAGGTTAAACAGAATAAACAAATCCCCTCCTAATGGAAAATATTTTCTGTCTCTTTTTGAATTTCCTCTCTGGTTACCGAAGTGCAGCTCTAAGACTCCACACGCCTCCCAAGTACTCACCATCTGTCAGGTTCATTGTTTTGAGATCTGTTTGTCATAGACATTGCTATAAACCCCATTTCATTCTGAATGATCCTTAATAACTCCTGGACTTTGAGAAAGCCCAGGGGGCCAATTGTAGGCAGGACAGCTCTTTTTAAATGGACAGATTTCCATGATGGGACACAACCTATTCATCATGATCACATAGGACTTGCTTGAAACAATCAAGCAACTGAAAGTATGTCATGACGTTTGTCCACATGCTATTCCTGAGCAATGCAGGCTGGTACCTCTAGAATTACTAAAGGAAATATAACTGACTATATGGTATCTTTATTTCAAGATAAACTAAGGACCTAGTGCATCCTGGGTCCTGAAATGCCTGTGAGTGTGATACAAGCACATTTTCACCAATTTTAAGAGGAGAAAACTGATTCCATTTCTTTTAGAAATCCTTGCTCATTATTTTTGAGAACTGCGAGGCTCAGACTTATTTAGGGTCAGGAGAGAAGGCTGTCTGCAGGAAACGTGTGTTACGTTACAGCCTTCAAAAGGGCATAGTGAGGAAAGGTAGCCTGCCTCACAGCCCAGTGAATGTTAAGTGCATACTCCAATAACAGTCCCAAAATGCAGAGGCCGGAGGCGCCAAAGGCACCGTCCTTCTCCTCTCAGGGCAGCGGGCCTGCTGTTTTCCTGACTTTTTATGATTTACTCTAATTTTTGGAATAAGAGACTCTCTCCACTGAACATACAAGTTGGCTGTTCTTTTTGCTTTTCATTTCCTCTTCTTTTACGCTCGCACACTTGATTCTCCCCTTGGAGGCCTCGCCACGTAACGGCTTAAAGGAATATCAGTAGCAGTAATAGCAGCAGCAGTAACTCAGTGATACTTGTTGTGGGCCATATGTGTCTTGGGTAGAATAGTAAATATAGAACCTTACTTCTCTGTCACGAGACTCCAAGGTGAGAGTTATTATTCCCTGATTTATTGCCACAGTAGAACAATGAGGGTAAGGCCTTCAGGCACACTTGGGTATAAATGGAAGATCCAGTGTTCAAACCCAAATCTGTCTGACGGTAACAAGAACTCAGAATGCGTGCTAAAGTTTCAGACCATAATCGTGGGGCTGGTTCACACACGATTAGGTAAGTTATTTTTAATGTTTGCTTAAGCAGCAATGTTGCTGAAGGATCCCTTGCCTCTGCAGTGCTCTGAGACTCTTCCAGAGAGGAACAGAAATATATATATGTATCATGGGACACTTTTTGCCAGGAATATTTTGGGACACACTGGATTAGACTAGCAGCCACAGAGTCTTGAACACCTCTGCTCCGCCAAGCCACAACCAAAGAATTATGTTGAAATGGTCCCTTCACTAAGCCAGGACACTAATGCACTCAGTAGGCCATGTGTCAGGATAAGCATTAGAGTCTCTCACAGCAGCAAGATGTTCAGCATCTGGTCGAGAGAAACGTGCTTAGGAGTGATTCAGCGCACATCATCACCTTCATAGAGCACCAAGATAAGGCATTTCTGCTCCGGCGTAATGTTCTTATTACAGTCATGCCCTGGCTGGGAGTTGCCTTAATTTTTCACGAATCAGTTTATTGTTAAAAGGTAGTAACAAAATGCCTGCCTGGCACGCACAAGGTCCTGAGTTCAATCCCTGGTACTGTGAATAAATAAATTAAATAAAAGGTAATAACATCTTTATTTGGAGAGTTCAAATTGGAGTTATTAATGTTAAACTAAAGAGCGCACAGGGCTTTAACGTCCCACCGCCTCGCTTTAGCAGGCTGCCGTTGTTGGGCTCACAGCTGGTTGGAAAGGAATTTCTTTACTTGCAGGCCCGTGTACTCTCCAAGCCTCTAGGACCTGGCCCTCTCTCCCTTTGAACAAAGCCTGCTAAATTGATTGCTTTGTGATAGTAAGAATCAGTCCAAAGGGTCACCTGCTGCAATCTGTGTTACTGTCCGGACACTTTGGTGCCTGGCAGTCTTCTTGCCACAAGGCCCAAACATATTCTTGTCTTGTGAGAACCGTGATATATTTGCAGAAATGGAAGCATTTGTGCTTGGGAAGGATCAGAAAGAATTATGTGATAATTCACATGGAAAATAGAATTTAGAATTTTCTCAGAAACGGAGAGACGTTCCCGCAGCTTTCCAGCTCAGAGGGAGCAGGTCTTGCTGTCTGTGCGCAGGGCAGAGATGAAGATGGGCTAGCTTGACTCTCAGTTTCATGACACTGACATACAAATCTTTGCATTTTGCCCATGGCCACAAATACACCTTTCTCTAACCAGCAGCTGAAAGTCTCTGCTTTGCCCTCTTGGGCCAGGAAAATTATCCCAGTAAGCAGGGTGCAGACAGAGAATTAATTGCCAGTGTCTACCTGCTCTACCCTGACTGCTCTAAGCTGTCTTGTATCCCTCAGACTTTACTCTCACTGTTACCTGTCTATATCATCAGAAATTTTTGACTAGTAAAAATGTAAAAAAAAAACCAAAACGATGATGGTGATGGAAACTATTTGCTGCTGAAATTTTTGAACCAAAAGAATGATCTGTGTTCTCTTATGAATAGACAATTCACAGAATGTAAGCTTGTGTTTTCTTAGTAACCTTTTTCTTGGGGTGTGGGGAGGTCCTGGAAAGTGAGAAGTGGTGTGTTATACAGTTCTGCAACCGAGTTGGCTCATCTTAAGTGTATATTGACTTTTTATGTATAACGTGGAACCAATAAAAAATAACAGACTGAAGTTACTTGTAATCATGGGTGTTGGCCATAAAAAAAAAGCTTCATGCATATGGTAACTGGCAACTTGAAAGTGTCACGGACTGAAAATGTAAACCATATAAAGTGAGAGAGAAAAGAAAAGAAAATAGGAGGAAACCATCGTGATGAGTGTGTTCATCTTTCTCAGCCCAGTTGTTATTTATAGTCATTAAATAGCGTCTTTCCCTTTTCCAATCAGGACAGCAGCAAAATATACACAACACACATTTCCTACTTGGAAATCTACAATGAGTGTGGTTATGATCTATTGGATCCAAGACACGAAGCCTCCAGATTGGAAGATTTGCCGTGAGTAGCCGAACAACAAAGAAGAGGGGAAATGACTTACAGATGTTCCCTTCCAGTTGTTTCTTTGAAAGTTTGTGTGTTTCTGGTCTCAATCATAATTAACAAATGTGGGATAACAGAATCTTTTCATAATAGAGTGGATTGTTTTTCAGTTAGGACAAACGGACAGTCGTGATGGGAACTGCAGTTGCTCGAACCCCACTTCATGGGAAAGTCTCTTTGGGATTTGTCTCAGAAAGCATGACAGCAGGGACTGAGCCGGGTGCTTGGAGGGCTGGCAGACCTGCAGGACTCTACTCTTGTCACGTGGGACCCACTCACTGCTCTCATCCTGGCCTTCTCTCAGAGAAAGGATTCAGATTAGAGCTGAGGCAGCAACAGGCAAATCCAAAAGAGGAGACAATAGAATATTAGGTTCTCCCCAGTGGCTTCTCTGGACAGTCTCACTAATAATGACCGTCACTTGATCAGATCAGCACTGATGATGTGATGACCGAAGTGGTCCTCAGAGCTTGGCCCTCGATGGAGTAAGTGACTGTGCCAGCATTTACACACCACCGCTCAGTCTGTGCTTAAAATTTGCCAAAACGGGGCATGTTCTTTGCTCCCAGCTTGCATGTTTTTGTCCAGATACCCTGTATCAGAAGTTGTCTATCCTCAATAAGACATTTTAATATTCCTATTAAATATTCTAAAATAACTTAGAAATACACATGATTTTCTATAGAGGTAATTATTTTAATTTGATTAAAATATTCAAATTATTATTTTAGTTTGCAAAATAGGAAGAAACAGTAAAACAGTAATTTGTAATTTTTATATACTGTATTCTTCCATTGATGTCAGTTTAAAATTTTTGCGTATCATTTCTTTTATGCTTACAATATGAATACAAGGAGTTAGGCTAGATTATTATTTATATTCTAAGTGTTTTTCCAGGGAAAAGAAAGATTATTGAATCCATGAAAAACATGGCCTTTATAAAACTATTAGAATGAAGTTTCAAAAAATGGTAAAACTTCTTACATAGGAAGCACGTGAGCTGTAGCGTCAGACGTGAGGACGGCTGACAGCTAGCTGCGTGTGAGGAATGCTGGGTCTGCCTGTGTGTGCCCCACTCATTCATGTGCTGAAACCTGGTCACCAGCGGTGTTGGAGTGGGGCCTTTGGGGGGTGAGATGTGACTAGGGCCTGGAGCGGAGCCCTCCCAAGGTGAAACAGGGTCCTCATGAAACAAGACCCAGGGAGTCTTTTATACTTCCCCTTGTGTAGAGGGCGCTTGAGAAACAGGTCTCCCACTGTCAAGGAGGGACTCTCACCAATACCGGCTTCGCCAACACCCAGACCACAGACTTCTGTCCTGCACGACTCTGAAAAAGAAATTTCTGTGGCTTATATACCCAGTGTATGATATCTTGTTGTAGCAGCCAAAATAGAGGAACATGTAGTGTCATTACACTACTGGAAGCCAGGTTTAGAATGACAAGGTTTTGGTCTGCGGTTGATCCTTATTCCAATGGACTTCTTAGCTGGCTTTCTAGTACCTAGTGTAACTCTTCTACCTCCAGACTAAACTACACCTAGCAGATTGGAGGCTGTTAGCAATAACCCAGGAATGGAGAAGTCAAAGGAAAGGGGAGAGGAAAGGAGGGAAAGGGAGGGGAGGGGAAGAACTTGACTATAGCTAGCCCCTCGGACTTGTCTGGGTTTGTCAAGGACAGTGACCACAGGAGCTCGGTGCTCCCCCTTTGCTCATTGGGCAGATCGAGCTGGAGGGGAATGATTGCACTAAGTTTCAGAGGCAACTGGTGAGCCATGGAACAAGGGTTACAAAACTGCTACACACATTCTCATGCTAGAGTAACAGAAGAGGCTTCAGGGTTTTTGTGCTGTGCTGGGAAAATCAAAGAATCAATTTAAAAAGATTTGCAAGGGCCGGCCAAGTAGCTCAGCGGATTAAAGCACCTACAAGCAGGCACAGGGGCTGGGGGTCGATCCCCGGGCCTGCCATGCCAGCTCTGCCCCCACGGTGTGCCGAGACAGCAGCTGAGACTGGGCATGGTGGCGTGCGCCTGTAATGCTAGCTCTTGGGAGGCTGTAAACAGGCGGATCACTATGAGTCTGATCTAATAGTGCGACCCTGAACACCGTATAGACCTTGCCCTAAAAATACAAAAAAAAAAAAAAAAAGTTTGCATTAGAAAATGTGATCAGGTGATGAAGAATTTTGCACACCTACCTTTGATATCTGCAGATACTGTACTAAATTTATATTTACAGTAAATTCCCCTGGGGTAAGAAATATGCCTTGCCAGGTTTGGGATGCTCCTACTGCCTGTGCCAGAGAGGGTCTTTAATCATTTATTGAGTTAGCTTTTACACTGAAACTCTGACATTGAGAAGATGAGAGGGAAGAACAGAGCATGAGCTCTATTCCTCTGAATCTAGTCAACCTGGTTTGCTGTACCTAATGATGGGAAGAACCAGAGCTGAGAAGAGCCATTGGAATCTGAGAGAGGCAATGTAATATGAAAAGCACTTGATCAGAAATCAGGAAATTTGGGTTCCAGTCTTGGCTGCAATATTAGATAAATTCTGTCATTTTTCTGTGTTTCTCTCTGTCTATAAAACATGGGCATTGGTTGAAATAATCCTAAGCAACCTTCAACCTCCAGTGTCTGTAGTTCAACAGTTCATAGGATAGGACATAGTTAGTGATTCTTCACCATTTCATCAAAGAATAAAATTGACTGTGATCTTTTTCTAATGTTGTCTTTCTAGAAAAAATCATGGTGACTTAAGTCACTCTATCCTCTGCATTTCCCAGCATGCTTAACATCTGGTAGTCGCTCTGGAGTTTGCTCAGGTTGGCTGTGTAGGCGGTGGAAGCTTTCCTTCTCCAACTATGATACATCTTTGGTAGCTCTGCCCTTTCGTAGGATGGTCACCTCACTCAGGTGAAAAGTGATCTCAGGTACAAAACAGACATTATCAGTGAATAGCACATAGACACATGTGGTACAGAAGATGTTCTTGTTTTGACATTTTGGATTATAATTACATGATAACAAATCCCATTAAAACAAAAATGGCATTAAGAAAGAAGATTCTTCTTCCATTGTATGGGAAACTGAAGTTATGGTAGAATTCAGCTGTAAACCCATCTAGTCGTAGGCTCTTCCTTGGCAGTAGTTTTAATTACTGCTTCATTTTCATTGCTTATGTTTATGTTATTGATATGTGTATTTTTCTATCTTTTTAAATCAATTTTGGTAGGTCACATATGTCTAGGAAATTATCCATTTCTTCCATATTCTCCAGTTTATTGGAGTACACACTTTGAAAATAATTTGGTGGTTCTCTGCATTTTAGTGATATTTGTTTTATTTCACTTTTTTCATTTCTAAGTTCATCAATTTGGCCATTCTTTCTCATTTTGTGAGTTTGACTGTTTATCTTTTTAACAAACCAAGTGATTCACTGTGTTGTGTTGTTAGTTTAAGTTTAGTGCACAAAAATCTATCACATTCCTCTACGCTAATAGTAAGCTCACAAGAAAATAATTCCATGTGCAATAATGTCAAAAATATTAAATGCCTAGGAATCAACCTAAGAAAGGAAAACTTCTATAATGAAAATTTACAGAACTCTGAAAAAAATTGAAGAGGACGTTAGAACATAGATACTGCTTTTTCTTGGATTGATAGAATTAACATTTTTAAAATAGCTATATTACCAAAAACAACCTATAGATTCAATGTAGTTCCTGTTAAAATACCCTCGTTCTTTACCAAACTATAAAAAGCCACATGGAATTTCATTTGGAATTAGAAAAGTACTAAAATACTCAAAGCAACCCTGAGCAAAAAGAACAACGCCAGAGGCATCACTACACCAGACCACAAACTATACTACAAGGGCATAAAAACATAAATGCGGACCAGTGTTGTAGAGTAAAAGACACAAAAACAAACCCAAGCATCTGTGCCCATCTGATTTTTCACAAAGGGTCAAAAAACATGCTGGAGAAAAGACAGTCTCTTTAACAAATGGTATGGGTAGGATCGCACAAAATTGGGACTAGGTGCCCATCTTTCATGCTGTACTAAAAGCATGTAAAAGTGACTAAAAATTTCTATGTAAACTCTTCTTGCATAGGTCCTGCTTTACCTTGGTCTTAACCATCCAGTAGAAAAGTATGAAGTTGAAATATAAAAAATAAAGCCATGCTGTTAAGTTGAGCTGTGGGGGACTCAGGTCAATAATTTCTGACATTGCCAGTTAAATATAAGACCCAATGCT